AAACAACTGAAAACCGAAATAAAAACCGAAATCAGAGACGAAATAAAAACAAAAGATGAAAAACTAGACAACATCTATAAGCTACTGCAAAAAATGGATAAAGTGATTAGTGCTCCGAACACCACTGGACCGCAAAGGCCCAAAACTTCTGGTCGTTAACATAGTCGATCTCAAACTTCAAACATCCCTCTTCTCAATTTTCTAACGACCAAGTTGAACAGACATGTTTACACATTACCCTCTTCCCTCCGCAACCCCAACACATACTGCCCTGATCTACCCCCCCCCCCCCCCACGCGCACATACACATACAAATTGGCCAAACTCGCAGAAACTGTATGGTTTGGTGGGGGTGTAAATGTCAGGAGGAGTAAAAGAGGTGTAAAAGGGGAGTAAAAGGGTCACGTTATCTTATAGGAATTTTTACGGTAAATGTGTGTCAGGGGTTAAATTTGGGGGAAGGAAGGAGGTGGTAGTAAGCGAAGTAAAGTATTTAAGTGAAGGAAAAAAAGAATGGGGGTGAGTATGAGTGGGGTCACTGTCGGAAGAGAGAAATATACAAGAAAATAAGTCAATGATACAATTTTGTACTGTATATAACCCAACTTATATTTCAAATTAACGTAGATTTCAAATCTTTTCTGTTTGATTCATTAGCGAATAATAATGGTCAAAAAATTATTCGGAACATGATCAAAAAAAATTGCGACAAAAAAAACTTGCCGTGACATAGTCATCAAAATAGTCACAATAACTTTAGCGAAGAAATAGTCGGGGTTCGATTTGTTTTTTACTGGAGTAAGTTAAAGTTTCGCAGCTTAATGTGATAAAATAAACATGGTCGCTTGCTATACTCGTGCGAAATTGAACTGAAATTTTTCAAACCAGGTTTTCTCAAAATTGGCACAAAGTTTTGAAATATTTCAAAAATTCGTTGGAATCTTAACTAAATTGCTTTAATAAGATCTATCAGTCGACCAATAGCGATGTTTTTTTGCAATTGACATTGTTTTTAAGGGTTATGTTTTTAAGCAGGCTGCTTTGTTACCAGACGAAAAATAATAGACAAGCAGTGAAAACTGTTTCTCAGACAACTATGAACCAAAAGTGAGCTAAAATTTTTTTTTGAAAAATAACACCAAAAGCCGACTAAGGAAACAGTGTTACAAAAATTGGTCTAAAATTTTTTTTGAGTTCTTCGTTAGACGAGAGTATTCTTTCCTAATACTCCGTTTTCTGTCTTTTAGAAGCTTTCCAGGTTTTTTTGTCCGTTTAATGAGTTGTTTATTTTTCAAAAAAGTTCTTTCATTTCGATTCGCATGCCGATTTTCTCTGGTTATGACAGCTTTTCCCCCAATAGAAAGTTTTTTATAACTTTTCCAAAACTTTATTCTTCAAGCTCTTATAATTTTGCTCTACCCAGCTTTTGAACTCTCCTAAAAGCTTGCTGTTAGAGTTTCATTTGGTTGATGAAACTTTCGACATGACTATCGGATTCGGTCTTAAAATCCTAATATTCCACACGTAGTTGAAATTTTTCTGGGTTTTTGTCCTCTTTGATGGATACGCGAATTTCCACTGTTAAGTTGCGAGTATCAGAAGGAGTGCGCCGAGCATTATGAGTTGTTTACTGAAATTACCTCGAATTAGTTTTGGAGTTTTCGCAAAGCTCGATGAGTATAGCGATTCCAATCAACAGAAAGCTGTGAATTGTAGACTTTTTTCGGACAGCTGGTACAGCGCCACTTTTCATTATCTGCAATTTCGTCATGAACTAAACACCCAAAAAAAGTAAAAAGGTTACTTAAAGCTAACTTCTTTGTAACTTGTTAAAGGTATAAACTTTAATCCTTTCAGACAAATAAGAACAAAAAAATTATTGAAACGCTTCGCAAAGACATAACCAACCATTGGTTTAAATTTGGAATACTCTTTGAAAAAATTTTTAGCCTTAAATTTTTTTTTGGCTAGTTTGGGGCTTTATGTAATTTTTTCAAAGAAGCTCATTCCTCTCGATTAGCTTGTCGAATCTTCAATGCAATTGCTTTTACCCAAAAAACTTCCTAAATCTGTTTTGATGTTTTCTTGATGTGACATGAACCAACTTATATTCATTGGTCAGTGAAGATTCACTTTTGTTTTAGGAAAACATTATTGCAACAATTGGCAAACCTTGGATTCATTTTTGGCTCAAAACATGGCGTACTTTATATACCTGGATCGTAAAAATTTTTACTTGTCGCAGTCGTTGGAAATTGTTTGCAGCTCAAGCTCGCTTTAGTTTTTCAGGCTGGCGGTTGGTTTAGTTTTTTCTTCAGTTTTCTAAATTTCTTTAATCAATTAATTGTTTGTGTTGCCCTAAATTATCATGACTGAAAGATGAATCTCTAGGTTTTTTCTTTACCTACTTAACAATTGCCCCCTCCTTTCAATCCCTAGAAATCATCTTAGTGTCACAGCACAACTTGCTTCCATACGCAAGTGAGATTATGACTGCCTGCCGAAGCATTCAATTTCGTGATGCAATATCGCCGATATGGTCATCACAGACGTTTTGGTGTCCAGAACGTACATCTTTTTCTCATTTGGCAAGCCAGACATTGGTACGTCGCTTAGCTATTTCTTTATCTTCTCAAACGATGTCTCCGTACCTCGTGAGCTGTTTAGACATTTATCAAAATAGTTGGAAAAGCCTAGGGAAATCATCAGCTGTTCTTCAGTTTTTGGAAGATTACAATTGAGGAAGTTGTATACCGCATCCCGATCAAGCCTGATTCTTTGCTTATTGAGCATTTTGTCAAGATAACTAATGGAACCCCCCAGGATTTCAAATTTCGAGGGCTTGAAATTCAAACATAGCTGTCTCATGCACGCGAAGGTTTCATCCAGTCTCTCAGTGTGATCTGCTTAGGTCGAAGCGGCGATCACCACATCGTCTACATAAAACACAATAAGAAATTCGTGTTTTTATTAATTAATTAAGCCAACGCCTTAGAAATCATTCTCTGGAAGGTTGGAGAAGCTGACCCCATGTATTAGGATACGTTATGGATTTCGTGTCAGCCATGCTATGTATTAAGATTGGGTATAGAGTCTAAGATGTATTAAGATAGGGAATACCGATGGTAAGGTTTTATGGTTTGTGTGATGGTAAGATAATGGTAAGAAAAACAAGTTTTTTTTTGTTTTTGAATGGAAAATTCTGATTTTTTCGCAAAAATTTCGCGCCCGTTACCTAAATGTTAAACATCAAAGGTTAATTACGTGTAGATTGTTGAATTACGTGTAGATTGTTGAGTTACGTGTAGATTGATGAGTTTTTGAGGAAAAAAATTGAGATTTTTTTATCAAAAAAACTGATTTTTTTTCTCAAAAAAAAAAACTTCAAAACACGATACTTTTGGTATAATTTGGCCTTTTAATTACTTTAATACTTTTTGAAACAGTTATCTATTTACCTAAAACTAAGCTGAAACTACTAAGACTTCAAAAAAATCAAGTTTTCTCAGAGAAAAAAAAATTAAATTACAAAAAAATATATAAATCACTGCATTGTATAACAAGTTTACCGCAAAACTTTACATTTTAAAATCTTAAAACCAATATAATACGACATTTTGAAAAAATTTACTACTTCAGATCAGTTGTTATAAGTTCAATGGTTTTGTATGAGTTCCATCATCTTGAACTTGTCCTTTTGGATAAAAACAACTAAGTCCTTTCTTTGTCTGTTCATATGTAGCAACCATATGATTTATACTTCTGAATCTTCTGTTAGTAGAGGTAAGGTCAATTACATCATCGAGAACTATCATGTACTTTGACATGGGTCCATCTCCAGAATCTTCTAGAACTCGCTTGTTCAATCCTTTGCTGCTAAATTTGAATTTGTCTGTTTTGTTGTCATAGCAGCAATAACTTTTGCTACATAAACAGCATTTTTGTGCACATAAATTTCTCTTTGAAAAGTCCCGGCTTCCGTTTATTGTGCTTTTAATGGATACTGCATAACGTTGAAGGGAAAAAATTAAATTTTGCGTCTGCTTTGAAAGAGTCTCTGCAGTCATTTTCCCTCATTTTTCCCATATATTTCTTTTTTTTTCTGATTGGTTACAGTCATATAAGTTTTGTTCAACTAGTGCCAAGTAAAGTGAGTCTGTACCCATCTCCAGCTCTTCAAATTTATTTACACCGCAGAAATTGTCAAAGAAACTATGGTAGAGTTCCAACATTCTCAGCTTTGCATACTGAAGTATGAAAAAGCCAACAATGATGGGTTCTCGGTGCTCAATGGTTGTTCAAACAACTCCAGTTCATACAAGTCTTTTTCAACTGCATTTAACCTTTTAAACAATGGCTTATTGGTCGCTTTATGTGTTTGTTCATCGTTCAGATACTTCGTAATTGTATGCCTGGATCTATCCATGATCTGATATCCATACGATGAATTACCCAAAAGTTTCATTGTTTCTGCTACAACTCCTGATAGAGGTTTTTAATCTCCTTCTCTTCTAGCATCAACCACTGACTGAACGGAATTATTAAACCATTTCCGAGGCGAATATTGAACAAAATGGAAATTTTGGTGCACTGCAATCCAAGTTCCATATAAAAGTTGAAGAGAGGAGTTATAACTGTTCCATTTTCTAGCTTGAAACTAGTGTCATAGTATCTAAATTTAGTTCATGTTTCAATTCCAGTTTCATTTCTAGTTGTGCTATTTAATTCATTTATCTGTCTGGCACTAACTAGTATTTAACCTTCGGAATGTGTCTGTCACCTTCGGTTGACCGCCAATGTATTGTCTCCGACTAATTTTCTATCACACGGTTACTTATCTTACTAAAACAATTCAAACTATCGAAACTGTATTTTCACATGGCGCAGCCAGCAGGCTAAAGTGGGGGAAAAACCCACTGGGGATTACATCGTTTTGGCCCTCGACGTTCGCAGAGCCACCAGTGTTATGGGAGTTTTGGTTTAATCGTTTTCAATGGGGAATGGTGGCCAAATATAGCCTAAATCCGAAGAGCTTCTATTATGCCAGAACGTTAACCGCAGCGCAGGTTACAGCACTACCGGAGGAGGTAGACGGAAAAAATCGTCTGGCGTCGGAGCAAACGCTTATCTCGAACTTGTATTTGTGTCTGGGGGAGAAAGGACAGGATGAGCTACATAAGGGGAGACCACACCTGGATTTATCTACGACAAGGTACTCCAGGCTATTAGATACCATCGAAACGGAATTTAAGAAGGAACAAAATGAAATTTATGAAACATTCCAATTATTGGCACGGACACAACAAATAGGAAAATCCTTGGAGCAGTTCCACTCAGTGTTAAGCGGGCTGGCCGCCCGATGTAATTTTGGAACGTTGGAGACCAGAATTCTGGGGGATGTGTTCATTGTGAACATGAACAATAGAGAGGCCCAAAATGAGCTATGCCGTTCGACTAAGACACGAGAGGAGGTGCACCGTATTGCACTTTCATACGAACGTGGATACAAATATGCTAAACCATACGGATCGGCAACCGGGGGAGCAAAAGCTAGTGGCACCACCGGTGGAAATGGAGCGTTCCCAATCAAAACGAAACCGGTGGGGACAATCCGAGAAGGATACCGAAATAATAGACAGCGCGGCCGTGGATCGTTCACAGGACGAGCAGAGATGAGAGGGGGAGTTTCTAGAAGATGCTTTAATTGTGACCAACCCAACTTTACTCCGGAACACCTTACTAAATGTCCAGCCAAAAATGCGACGTGTAATTTCTGCAGGAAAACGGGACATTACGAGAGAACTTGTCGGGGGAAGCGGAATAATCGGGGAAGACCGGCAGTGGGACTGATCCAAAATCAGGAGGATATGGAAGCTAGTGAAATAGGCGATGCTGAGGATACTTATTCGCAACATGAGAATTCCGTTGGCTGGGTTAACACGCCGGTATAGAAGCAACGATCGTGGGATTGGGACAACTCAGGATATTATGTTGTCATGGCTATCAAATCTTGGAGAAAAACGGAATTGAAGGTGGCCGGCGCTCGACTACCAATTAAGATAAATGGGAAACAGACGAATGTCTGCATAGATACTGGATCACCGATTTCAATAATTACCATAGGAGATTTAAAGTGGACGTTGGGCACCGCAGGAGTGAATGTGAAGGCACCAGCACCGGAGGACGACGAATTCAGGGATTACGAAAACAATCCCTTACGACTGTTAGGAACGATGGACGTCTCGTTAGAAACGAATGGATGGGCGACTAGCGCGAATATCAGAGTGATCGGAGGAAGCAGAACGTCGATTATTGGGAGAGATCTAATGCCAAATCTTGGATTACAAATAGTACAGAAGGCACCGGAGGAGAACGTGATGTCGGTGCAGGGAGAACAACCTGGGGCCGAAGCAACAGAAGGGGAGGGCTCATTAGACCTCTGGCAGATTTATTTCAGGAATCAATCAAACAACATTTTTAACAGAGTCGGGAAAATTAAGAATTATAAGCTACACGCGGATTTTTTCGAAACGTTAACGCGATTCAACAAAAAGGACGAAGAGTGCCCATCACATTGCAGGACAAGTTCGATAAGGAAATTAATAAACTTTTACGGCAAGGGCACATCGAAAAACTGAAAGAATGTTCGGACAGGTATTTTGTTTCCCCGATTAAAATAACGGTGAAAAAGGACGGATCAGTGAAATTAGCGTTAGAATCCCGGGAGTTGAACAAGCAAGTCCTCAAGAATAAATACCAAATGCCGAATATTGAAGAGCTCATGGACACGGTAGGACAAACGATAAGCGAACGGAAACCAGGAAATGTATATTTCTCTACTATGGACCTTACGTATGCGTACGGAAAATTACCACTTAGCGCGGAAACGAGCGTCCAATGCAATTTTTCGCTGGTGGGAGGAAAATCAACGGGCACGTATCGTTTTCAAACGGGGTTCTACGGCCTTACCACCATACCAGCGGAATTTCAAAGAGTGATGGATACGATCCTTTCGGAATTTCCGCAGGCGCACGCTTTTATCGACGACGTTTTGGTGGTCACCAAAGGCACTGAAATTGAGCATATCTCGGCGGTCGAAAGAATCTTACGAAAGTTAGATCGCGAGAATATGTCGCTCAAGCTTACTAAATGCCAATTTGCGCGGAAAGAAGGTGAATGGTTGGGGCATAAAATAACTTGTACCGGAATCACACCGCTAATCCGAAAAATGGAACCGATCGAATCGCTAAAAGCACCAAAAACGGTGTCGCAGCTAAAATCCTTTATGGGTTCTATTCAAAGCCTGCACAAATACCTTCCAGCACTCGCGGAATTATCAGCCTCGTTACGTCCTTTATTAAGCAAGAAAAACGAATATATTTGGAATAGTGAATGTCAACTATCATTCGAGAATCTGAAAAAGCAGGTGGCGCTAATATAGTTGAACTTCGGCACTTTGATATACACCGTGACACAAGAAACGTATGCGACGCTAGTCATAACGGGCTCGGAGCGGTTCTTGAGCAATTAAATTCCGACGGCTGGAGGCCGATATCCTTCTCATCCCTGTACTTAAACGAGGCAGAGAAAAATTACTCTACGAATGAATTAGAAATGCTTGCAGTTGTCTGGTGGGCGGAATATTTTCAAAACTATGTGTTGGGGAGAAAATTTTCAATTGTTACGGATCATAGGGCAATTGTATTATTGCTAAATGGGAACAACAAAAAGAACAAAACAATGTTCAGTAGATTAACCAGATGGTTAGATCGTCTTATACCATTCGATTTTCAAGTCGAGCACAAACCCGGAGCAAAAATTGGACTCGCCGATTACCTATCGAGGCACCCCAGCTTGGACGCTAAACCGGTCAGCAACTATGATAGTATGTTTACAGTGGCGAAAATTAGTAGAATTAGATCCGCCCTCGGGTTTGAAAAGGAAGCTTTCTCCAAAGGCAGACTCGAGTCTCCATCAGTTACTAATAATAAAGGCGTTTGTAATATATCGAGTAGAAAACAACCGGTAGAGGGCGAACGTTCATGTGGCGGAAATTGGACCAATCACAGAGCGAAGAATCGCATTTCCGGCAGATCAATTAAATTTAGTGGAAATTTAGTTGGGACTATTATTGAAGCTGACTTTGGTTCATAAATTCTTCAAAAATAAACAATCAAAATTCAAAATATAACTCAATTATGGAGAGAAAAATCAGGAAACTATTAAAACGAGACCCCAGCATTAGTAGTAGCGATGAAGTAGAGGAGATTGATCAGGATATGCAAGCGGTTACAACAGAAGTCCAGAGCACTAAAACTAACACCATCATTTCCATTCCGTCGGTTTACCCCGGTGAAAGTTATCCACCGGTTAATCCGGAAAAACTAGTTATGTCCGTTATCCCGACAAATTGTAAGGTTGTGAGTAAACAAACCGCCCTTCACGAATTGTTTAATCTTCGATTTGTAGAATCAAAATATAATTCCGATCCACAATTACAAGCCATTATCGAAATGATTAAATGGAAAGACCCTCAGTTACATTCAAAAATTGCAGCGATGAGTAAGTACTATGCACAGTATACTCAGGATTTTCATGAAAGAGACGGATGCCTGTGGATGGACGAGAGGCTAGTTATCCCTAACAACTTGCAAGCGGCGGTGAACAATAGGTTGCATTAATATCACCACGGAAAATCGAGTATGTATGACACAGCCAAAGACATCTGGTACCCGTACATGTTCCGTAGCTTAGCAGCGATCGCCGGAAATTGTCCAGAATGCCCATTAGCTGGTAAGAATTTGAAAAATATGTGTTCAAAAGGGTGTATACGGAAAATACCTGATTCGAAAGAACCGAATGAGTCGGTTCAACTGGACTTTTGGGGGCCAGTTAACTACTTAAAGGAGTCTAAAAAGTATGTTTTGGTAGCGGTGCATCAATTTTCCCGTTGGCCATCGGCGATGGTCTGTAACTCGAACCGGTCGGATAAAATTATTAAATTTCTAAAAGCATACATTGTTGCCCACGGAGTTCCGCGACAAATTCGAGTTGACTAAGGAACAAACTTTATGTCCAAGGAGGTTCGGTCATTCTGTCATAAAGAGGGAATTGAAATGCTCGTCTCGCCAGTTAATGATCATAGGGCAACAGGATGTGTTAAACGCACGATTGGCAGCATCAAGAATTCAGTACTTACGTATGCCCGGGAGGATAAACCGGAACCTTTGGATCGGATGGTTGAAAGAGCCCTCGGTGCCTTAAGATTTGGCAAAAACCTCACCCTCAATAAAACACCGTTTGAAGCGCACATTCGTCGGGAAGCTAACACGGTTCTAAGAAACTTGACCAAAAAGCCGTCATTATGAAATCTAAATTGGGGAAATGTAATAGGTTCAAAATCTGCCTATTTAGATGAACAAGACCCAAACGCCCAAGCAATGCCGGGGATAATGGATACGAACTGGGGAGTCCGATCGGATACAGATTACGACCGGAAAAAGAGGCGACACCCAATGAAACTGGCTGAGGACCAAGCTGCTAACCAGGATGATGAGCCTGGAATTGTGCGGGCGCCGAATGATCCGGCTGAAGGACCGCCGGCAGTCGTATTGCAGAAGACCGGGGAGCTGAATTTGAATAGGTATAAACCACTACAATCCAGTATAGTTAATCAAAGTGATCACACTATTAAAATGAGTAATGGTGCTGTGCTTAGAAAATCAGGAGAGCACTCAAGAAGGCAAAAATTCCCAAAAAAAACGGGCGCCGGGACAAATGAAGATGGGGGCGGTGATGATTGATGCTATTCAAAAGGCGGATAAGTCAGGAGCGAAATGAAGAAAAAAAAGGAGTAGAAAACATGAGTAAAAACTTACAAAACTTTATAACATGAGCAGGTACAGGGAGAGGGCATGCTGTGCAGCGGCAAAAACTCAAAGTTTATGTTTTAAAATGTTGTCATAGTGGATTGCTAAAACTTAGTTGAAACCTGTTATCAACCTTATTGATTTGTTGATGACAACATTGATAGTTAAAAGTCATCATTAACCTTATTGATTTCTTGATAACAGAATTGCAGTGGATACGTTAATTAAAGTCATTAATTTTTACAAGGAGAGAAATGTCATAGTAACTAAATTTGGTTCATGTTTCAATTACAGTTCCATTTCTAGTTGTGCTATTTATTTCATTTATCTGTCTGGCGCTTACTAGTTTTTAACCTTCGGTTTGTCTGTCACCTTCGGATGACCGCCAATTTATTGTCTCCGACTAACTTTCTATCACACGGTTACTTATCTTACAAAAACAATTCAAACTATCGAAACCGTATTTTTACACTAGATATCAGCTTTTTTTGAGGATGTTTCAACATTTCGTTCTCGATTGAATAATTCTTCATGTAGTCTCCAATATCAATTCTTCCAACCTTTTTTGAAAATATTATTTTGAAAATAGGAGGAAAAACTGCAAATTTTAAAATAGGAGGAATTTTGAAAATAGGAGGAAAAACTGCAAATTTTAATTTCAGCTCATCTGGAACAACTAAATCGCACTGAACGTAGCCAAAAATAGATTCATGTTTTATTTTTGCCAAAAGAGAGTCTATAAAAGGAGGTCTTTTACAGGGAAAGTGGGTGTTGATGTGATTTTAGATCTTGTTATTGGTTTTGAAACTTTCCCACCACTCACACTCCCTTATTTCTTCAACTTTGTATCCTTTCTCTTTTATGTATTCACGTCTCATATCATCCATTTCTCTCCTCTTGTTTCCTCGCTCAATTTTCTGATCTGTTAAGGAGGGATAAGCTTCTTGACAAGAACAAAAGTGGTAGTAGCATACCATTGCTTCGAACACTGTTTACAGTGATCGCAGTAACCAGCCACATTAAAACCGTTGATTTTTTTCTGTTTTCCAGATGTAAAAAAGCTCTCAATTTTACAATTTGGT